GTCAAAAGAGCTCAGAAACGGTACAGCTTTTCTTCTCAAAGCGACACCTGCTTAGGTCAAAGAACACAAGGCAAATCAGACTGTTGCTGTTACATCCTTCCGAGGATGTTTACACTTATTTTACAAGATGATACGGACGACTTTCACTGTACAAAATGATATGTATACGATCAATATGTTGTGACAACATTTGTTTTTACATTGTTTTAACTCATCAAAATAAGTTCGACTTCTTTTAAGGCAGTTTAATGTATCTTAAGTTGAAATGACTTGAACATCCAAGTTGATTGTACTTAATTTAAACAGGAATGGTTGCAATAAATGCAAACTTACTGCATGCAATAAGTCCACAAACAAGCAAGAATATGGCTTGCCATAGAGCCATTGTGGAGAAACAACGGCATGAACTGTGGTCAGCCCTGCTCAAATGTATTGTAGAGAGCCCACATGCAAACTGCAAAGAAAGCAAACATGTCATTTGAATAGATTACGGGATTTATATCGGTGATGTGTAACCACATTTTATATTGTACAGTTAATTTAATTAAAAATATAAAACGTTATAACAACAACAAACTTAAGAAAATAAAAAAAAGTAATTAATAATACATAATTACATATGTATACATATAAAATATAGAAAAGCATCACAAACATTTAGGTGTTCATCATCATATTGTTTAGTCTATAATCAACGGTGTTTAAGAAAAATAGATGATTGAGGTAGGGGGAAAATACAAGCAAAAGTGACTTTAAAAGAAGAAGTAGAGAAATTCTAAAACTTACCTTGATAATATTCCCATTGAACCGATTTACAAAAATATCAAATGTAGCTGAAAATATAAAAATCTGCAGTTTTCAATCAAACGCCATTGCATTACTCCACCTGGCATTTACGCTATGGCAATCTTCTACTGATCTAAATGCACAGTCAGAGTGCTTGTGATGAAAGTAGGACATGAAGGATGTGGTTGTGGTTAAAACAAGATCCCATTTGCAGATGTTCCGCCCCTGTCGTTACGTCACTACTCGGTCTGTACTGGAAACATGATCTTTACTGCGCATGTGCAAGAATGTGTCTCCTTACTGTCTGATGTCAAACCCATCATATTATAATATATCATATATCCACCTTATTCCTGACGACCTTACTGCGTTTTGAATTATGGGTGACACTTCCGGTTTGGGTAACTTTCAAAAACAAAAAAACATTCAAAAAGGCTCAAATTAATCATTTCAAATCATAAGGTTGCCCTACAAATAAATCTGAGCCCTCAGTTTAACTAAATGAGCTGTCAATTTCCCTTCCATGGTTTATTTTCAAACATCATGAGAATAACGTGGTATTTTAACGTGACATGTTATAATAAGAATATCTATGGCAAGAGCTCTTTTCAGTCGCTGCTTTCTTTTCCTGATGATTTTATTTTTTCCTTTCCAATCCGCTGTAAAAGTATGAAAAAGGACAACATATACGTCACATTTGTGGTCTGTTCTCCCGGATTTAATTCTCGATATTCCGTTAATAATTCATTTGAATGCACGAAGAATCTCTCGTTATTCTCCTCAAATCCTCATGTCCCTTTCCAGGTTTGTTTTCACAGTAAATGCAATTTAAAATCTGTCAAACTGACCGAAATCACTTTGGTATAGTCACGTAATGCTGAAGTTACTGAACATATTTGATTAATATAGATATTTGCCTACTACAGTGATATTTCACCAAAGACTTGCGCTTATGGGGCTTTTTTGGGTCTGTTGTACCTGCTGTACCTGTATATAAGGTACAGGTATACCTGTTGATTCTTTTAAAATTAAATATTTTATTTTAATGTTCGATGGTTGAAGGGTGGGTCGATTAATGTCATCTCATCCTGACACTTTTTTTTAACATATTGCGTTCGTAGAGCGAGCCTTTCACTGTTTACCGCTTAACGGAAGTTACGCCCATAATTCGCGCAAAGCGTCATGGGGCGTAGGAATAAGGTGGATAGATAGACACCCTATTGACCGCTACTGCCTATTGGCATGGACCAGAGCCATAGAGTTGTGAGTTGTGACACTCCCATAGGCCGCCATAGGAACTTTGGAATGCGGAAGTAACGCGTGTCGTGGAGCAGCATAGACAGTAAAAGAAACGGACAGAGCGACCCGCTGATTTCAACGGACAAGACTGAAGCCCGATTATTGCACTTCCTGTCTGATGTCTCAAACTGAGCGTGGCGACAGTCTGACAGTTGTACATCTTCTAGTAGCTGTGCCAAGACATCTCTGAATCACCTAATTCCAAAAAAACGTTGAAATATTTTGTCCCGTTGCTTTTATGGACTCTCCATTTATGGACTTCTGCCTTGACTTTGTGCCTTCATGTCCCCCCGATTGCCTCATAGACAGTGAAAGATTGACAATGGCAATGGCAGCTCCCGCGAGGCTTCAACTTCCGGCTGATGGATTACCCCCTTGGGAGCAACCAATAGTTCCAAACACTGATAGTTCCAGCATTGAACCCCATTCATTTTCAGTGCTTCCGAAGTACGTTTGCTGGAATTTTTTTTTTTACTTTTACACACATTAGCCGACCTCTCGTGAATCCAGTGGCGTAGCGTCTGGGCAAGCAGGGTATGCACGTCCTTATGGGCCCGGGCTGATAGGGGGCCCGCCCATGGGGAATTTTTTATTAAAACCAGGTAATTCATTTGGGGGTTTGCCGGAAAGAAGCGATTAACGTCATTTTCGCGCAAAGAAAGCAACATAGTAAACAACAATGGATGACAATAACATACAGCAGATCTTGTTCTTGCTTCTCGGCTTGTTTGTCACAAGAAACAAGCGCTGGAATAAGGCGTTTCTCAATACCAAGTAGCCTACGCAAAGTCCGACTCAGGAGAATGATCCCGAGGACGCGAGTCCAGTAATTCTGCTAATGGAAAAGCGTGTTCTTGAATGCACTCAGCTCGCTCTGCTACTCCGTTTATCTCTATATGAACATTTTAGGCAACGATAAAACGAAATATGTTATAAAACACCACTCTGCTTCTTTTCGATTTGATTTTAAATACATTTTAAACTTTATAAGCACACAAATGAGGTTGAGGCAATGCATAGCCTATTGATTATATTCACTGCATGAATGTACAGTAACACTATACAGTATATTTATAACAAAACTAAATATAAAGCACAACCCTGCCTCTTTTCGTTTAAATTTGAAAATATTGAACACATGCCAGGCAATATGTAATATATTGCATTTTGCATTGGTAAGTTACAAATGTTGCAATAAACAACATTACAGATGAGATTGTAATAAAATAAAAAAAATGACAAAACTAACTCTTTTTATTGAATTCCAGTTTTATCAATAATAGCCATTATAAAAGTATAAGTAAACGGTACAAAAAGCTATACAGCTTTAATAACATAAAGCAAACAATTCAGTCAAATATACAAATTCAGTGCTCAAATATATGAAACTTCACTTAGCCTTCTGCCCAACCTATTGGCCAGGGAACGAATTATAGATTCACAAGACCAAAGATCGCCTGTTAGGTTTATACAAGACAAACTATATCTCATGTTTAACCACCACAGAGACATCAGAGTCAGCGGCAAATATCAGAATGATTAGTCGAGGAAAGGCTGTTCCAGCCAAATTATCATAAATCTATAAATAAACCACAGATTTGAGCTTTAAAAAACTACATTTTCACCTGAAAAACTCTTAAACTACATTTCGTGACACAATAACAGTAGTATTATTTCAACTGTATATTAAAAAATGGTGCTCCTAATGCCCTTGCAGAATGTGCAAGTGACGATACTCTGTCAACCAATCACCGTTTTGCAGTGAGTCTAGCTCCACCTTTTATTATCGTACCACTGTGCTAGGTCCAACAGAAGGGTACCCAAAAAGTAGTACGGTACGGTTCAGTGTTTTGGTACCATGCACAACTTTGGACAGTGGAAAGGCAAATAATTGCGTACCGTACCGAACGGTACCGTATCGCTCAGTAGAGACGAGCCATAAAAAAACTGTGTCGTTCCCCTTTAAGGATTGTTTCTGTTGTTGTCATTGTTGTTGCCTGGATAAATGTGCAGTGTCATCAGAATCTATTTTGGGGGGTCAATATAGCAGAAAATAGATAAATCAGGGCTTGTCATGGGTATAAAAAATGAAATGGATAGCCTAAATAAAAATGAAAAAATAGTCATAATGTGTTTTATATTATGGTGTGAGTGCTCTAAAATGGTAGTAATATAGCATACAGTACTGCATAAAAAAGAGCAGATTGTGATTTCAATATTAGACTAATATTTATTCATTTATATCCTCAGTAATATGTGTGCTTGAGACATCCTTTAGGTGTCCAAGAATTGCCTGACCAAAAATCTTAAAGGGATAGTTCACTCAAAAATTAAAATTAAGTAATTTACTCACCCTCATGTTGTTCCAACCCTGTATGAGTTTATTTCTTCAGCTGAACACAAACGATGATGTTTTTAAGAATGTGGGAAACCAAACAGTAGTGAACCAAACAGTAACTTCCATAGTGTTTTTTCTGCATATGGAAGTCAATAGGGTCATCAACTGCTTGTTACCCACATTTTTCAAAATATACTCCTTTATCTTCAACTAAAGAAATAAATTCATACAGGTTTGGAACAAATTAAAGGCCTAGTAAGTTAAATGATTTTCATTTTTGGGTGAACTATCCCTTTAAATCAGTGTGTTTTTCTGACTCTGTAAAAATACGCTGCAAATAAGTTAAATGCAGTGTTAATGAACTAATCACAAAATAAAAATGTTTCAATCAGCTACATTGTCTAATTAGTCTAACTGTTCGTGTTTTACCTTAAATTGGACGTCCAGGTGATTTCCATCAGTTTGCGTTTATAGAGAATACCTTGCGATTCATTAGCCTGTAATTAGGAAACAATCCATTCAATTTTACCCAGTATATATGGACACTGTTGAAAGTTTCATTCAGGCATCTGCCTGTGCACTCACGGGTCCTAATTATCTTGGCTAAATGTCTGTGTTTTCTTTTTTCCAGGAGGGAAACTTCGCTAGATTTTTGCTTTGAGTTTGACGCGAATTCCCAATTAAACGGCTCTTGATAGAGTACAGTACTCATCTTCACTGACGAGGTATGTCTAGTTTGAAAGCAGGGTCAATTTGTGGACGTTCACTCTAGTTTGCGGTGTTTTGTTTGCGGGTTTTGTTAGCTAGCCATATATGCTACGCTAACAGCATATCCAGACTGCACGCGACGCGACAAATTACAGCGCCCGCTTGTATTATAATAATGTAATTGCACACATGCAGAGCATAGATCTATGTCCGTGTAGTTTGACGCGAGCAGTTAATCGCAATAAAGCGTGATTTAGCTTAATCAGCGGCTGATGTGCGCGCAGTGGGGAATGCGGCATCGCGCTGTGCATCTGACAGGTTCATTCAATGCGGTTCATTTTCACTTTAACTTACTCTAATCAAACAAATGTGGGCGCTGCTTATTCATTAAAATAAGTTGCTTTGATTGTGCCAACTGTGGAAGCCCTAAGTAATTTGCATATTTTTAATAGTATTCTTGATTCATGCGTTCTCTCACTGAATAACTTTACAATGCAATTTCATTATAGATTTCAACTTCAAGCTAATTATTTTTCAGCAATTTATTGAGTTTGTTTGTTTGATCATGTTTATCTACTCCTCCTTTTAGAGTTAATGTTCCCTAATTTGACACTTTCTTCGTCGGATTACGCAATCATTGTCTCATGCGGTTATGAATAACGTTACGTTACTCATTTATAATTTTCTCACTTGTCAATGTATACGTTATCGTCTCACCGCACTATTTTAGATGTCATTTTATGCAAAGATTGTTTTTGTTTTTGTTTTTTTTACGGTTTAATCAGTCACCTAGATCTTCGGGTGAAACCACAGAATGCTGGACTTCTCCAATCATTTTCGTCTGCTTAATCTTAATCTAATTGACTGTAAGTGCACCTAATTTTGTATTTATAATATATACACATACACAAAATTATGTGCACTTACAGTAGTCAATTATATATATATATATATATATATATGACCATTTCACAAGATGTAAACAACACTGGTCCAGAAGCACTTCCTGTTTCAGTTTGTAACTGTTTTCTTTATTTCACATGTAAAGAAAACAACTTAAAGCTGTTTGTTTAACTTTTTGATTCAGTTTTAAATGTTCTGTTGGTTGTATTTTATCCCAGCTTTTATGTAGTGTTAAACTGAAACAGGAAGTGCTTCTGGACCAGTGTTTACATCTTGTGAAATGGTCTATATATATATATATATATATATGATGCAGAGAATGAAATATCAACCATTTTTGTTTCCGATTAATCGTTAGTCGTCTCAATATGGATTAATAAAACGCTCCTGGAGTAGTGTCGCATGTCTCTATTGCTTCCATCCAAATTATGGCAGGAATGCTGCAGAAAATTGTTTTTTGTTCAGGCGGAACTGTAAAAGGTGTTTCGGTTGCGCTGCTCGGTGACTGACTTCTGTCTAACTCATGGTGATGGTGTGCTTTTGGACCGAATAGAGTGATTGGGTGAACAGGGTGAATTGGGTGTAGAGACTTTCAAACAGCAAAAGTAGCAAAAATGTTTCTGGAGCAAATCGTTTGCCCAGCCTTTAAAAAAATATGTAGACATTGTGAATCATGCTCCTTTTGAATCATGATGATCAAATCCTCAGAGTAAATTAATAATGAAACCATCTTGATGTCTGTCTATTTTGAACTTCATTGAAATGAAGGGAGAGTGCAATATCTGTCGTTTTGGAGACCCCAGAGGACAAATAAATAAGTTTTAGAAAGATGTTTAATAACCTTATCACTGCTGATAACATTTGCACAATTCTTTAGCGTGGTACATAGTCAGTGTCGCATGTTTGGTTGACTCCAGGACCCTTATGTTGATAAATCCAGGATTTGTTTTATTTTGTCAAATCATACATCTCCTACTGATGGAGATTTGGGAAATGTGCAGTTATTCTGTATTAGAACTATAAACAAGTGTGTATCACCACCACCGCAGTTTCACATCTGCATGTTCTTATGAAATCAAAAGCTCCCTAGATATGTTTCGTACTCCAATGACATTTCCTCATTTGTATGAACCCAATGTAGTTTTAAGGTTTTACCTTTTAATGGCAATCCCAACCTAATAATTTGTTTTTAAAATTTAAATGTCAATGTAAGCAAATTATGATGCATGTTATTACCCCTCCCCCATAATTCTTTATTAAAGGGTTGTTATTATCGAGTTAAATATTGATAATTAATAGGAAGAAAATTGTGTAACGACGGTCTATAGTTTTACAGATGTGCCTCTTGCTTGAATAGAAAATATTGCCTCCTTATTCTTTCAGGTTTTCAATCATTAAGTGGGTCACAAGTCATGTCTGGTATAGCGTTAAGTCGTCTCGCACAAGAACGAAAGGCTTGGCGGAAAGACCATCCTTTTGTAAGTATGAAGTTTCTGATTACAGCTGTGAGGCTGACATATAGGAAATAAGAGTGAGATTATTTATATATATATATATGATCTGTGTTGAAGATGTTATTTTAAATGTCACTTTTATTTTCATTTATTAAGCTGAGAAGTCACTATTGAAACTGTTGGGGGTTGTGTGCCATAAATTAAAAAGATTCTAGAGACGTTTTGAAACTTTTGCAGCCACCCACAGGACTTCAAACCTATCTTTTTATTTTTTTTTTAGGGTTTTGTAGCCGTACCGACAAAAAACCCTGATGGAACGATGAACTTGATGAACTGGGAGTGTGCCATCCCAGGGAAAAAAGGAGTAAGTGCCAATTTATATATTTCATATACATGTATAAAAAATATTTTATATATATATATATATATATATATATATATATATATATGAAAAATGTATTCATGCCTTAAAATAGCTTGAATGTAACTCTACACCCTTGCCTCATTTATTATACCTGGTTGTATGAATATCCAAATTAGTCCCATCTCCACTCACTCGCACCAGCTCAGAGATCCACTCAATGATCACTCGTTGATGATTGGTTACAAGGTAGTTTGTGGCGTCAGAAACACCAGCGATTTCAAACCGAGTTTGAGACCCTTTGGTTTACTGCGGTTTAAGGTGATGGTGTTGACATGTGCTTCAAGACAAACCATGTGCAAATGCATAATTAAAATGCCACTTTTTTTTTTTTTTTACACACAGTGGGACTTAAGTAAATTTAAATTTAAATTTTTTTTTTCTCAGACACCGTGGGAGGGAGGCTTGTTCAAACTTCGGATGCTGTTCAAGGATGACTATCCTTCCTCTCCACCAAAGTGTAAATCAGATGCCTAGTGGAGCTAATCCATTATCTGTACTTTGCATGCACATTGTGTTTTTAATTATGCCAGATTTTTATGGTGTGACTTCTTCTACAGGTAAATTTGAGCCTCCTTTATTCCATCCGAATGTATATCCGTCTGGTACCGTATGCTTGTCTATTTTAGAGGAAGACAAAGACTGGAGGCCTGCCATTACAATCAAGCAGGTAAGCTTGGATCTTCTTAGACTTTCGTTCCTCTTCGGAACAGACGTGAAGATATTTTTAATGAAATCGGAAAGATTTCTGTCCCTCCTTTCTAAGCAACTATCACTTTGACGCTTTAGATTGTTATACTAATCCATATGATTTGAACAGTTTAGTCCAAATTTTCTGAAGAAACATGATCGCTTTATATATTGATTTAATTTAGGCATTTATTCACAAATTCATCAACGCACCCATCAGATAAGATAAACGAAGCTAAAGCATGTACACTTGATGTATGAGAGCCAGTGAGGTTCATTCTTGAGTTACGCTGCACGTTTGAGCTTCTGCAAGAACCAATGAGGTTTATTCTCGTGTTACGCAGCACGTTTGAGCTTCTGCAAGAACCAATGAGGTTCATTCTCGTGTTACGCAGCACGTTTGAGCTTCTGTAAGAACCAATGAGGTTCATTCTCGTGTTACGCAGCACGTTTGAGCTTCATCAAGAACCAATGAGGTTCATTCTCGTGTTACGCAGCACGTTTGAGCTTCTGCAAGAACCAATGAGGTTCATTCTCGTGTTACGCAGCACGTTTGAGCTTCTGCATGAACCAATGAGGTTCATTCTCGTGTTACGCTGCACGTTTGAGCTTCTGCAAGAACCAATGAGGTTTATTCTCGTGTTACGCAGCACGTTTGAGCTTCTGCAAGAACCAATGAGGTTCATTCTCGTGTTACGCTGCACGTTTGAGCTTCTGCAAGAACCAATGAGGTTTATTCTCGTGTTACGCAGCACGTTTGAGCTTCTGCAAGAACCAATGAGGTTCATTCTCGTGTTACGCTGCACGTTTGAGCTTCTGCAAGAACCAATGAGGTTTATTCTCGTGTTACGCAGCACGTTTGAGCTTCTGCATGAACCAATGAGGTTCATTCTCGTGTTACGCTGCACGTTTGAGCTTCTGCAAGAACCAATGAGGTTTATTCTCGTGTTACGCAGCACGTTTGAGCTTCTGCATGAACCAATGAGGTTTATTCTCGTGTTACGCAGCACGTTTGAGCTTCTGCAAGAACCAATGAGGTTCATTCTCGTGTTACGCTGCACGTTTGAGCTTCTGCAAGAACCAATGAGGTTCATTCTCGTGTTGCGCATCACGTTTGAGCTTCTGCAAGAACCAATGAGGTTCATTCTCGTGTTGCGCATCACGGTTGAGCTTCTGCAAGAACCAATCAGGTTCATTCTCGTGTTACGCAGCACGTTTGAGCTTCTGTAAGAACTAATCAGGTTCATTCTCGTGTTACGCAGCACGTTTGAGCTTCTGTAAGAACCAATGAGGTTCATTCTCGTGTTACGCAGCACGTTTGAGCTTCTGTAAGAACCAATGAGGTTCATTCTCGTGTTACGCAGCACGTTTGAGCTTCTGCAAGAACCAATGAGGTTCATTCTCGTGTTACGCATCACGTTTGAGCTTCTGCGAGAACCAATGAGGTCCATTCTCGTGTTGCGCAGCACGTTTGAGCTTCTGCGAGAACCAATGAGGTTCATTCTCGTGTTTCGCATCACGTTTGAGCTTCTGCGAGAACCAATGAGGTTCATTCTCGTGTTGCGCATCACGTTTGAGCTTCTGCGAGAACCAATGAGGTTCATTCTCGTGTTACGCAGCACGTTTGAGCTTCTGCAAGAACCAATGAGGTTCATTGTCGTGTTGCGCATCACGGTTGAGCTTCTGCAAGAACCAATCAGGTTCATTCGTGTTACGCAGCACATTTGAGCTTCTGCAAGAACCAATGAGGTTTATTCTTGTGTTGCGCAGCACGTTTGAGCTTCTGCATGAACCAATGAGGTTCATTCTCATGTTACGCATCACGTTTGAGCTTCTGCATGAACCAATGAGGTTCATTCCTGTGTTACGCAGCACGTTTGAGATTCAGCGAGAACCAATGAGGTTCATTCTCATGTTGCCCAGCACGTTTGAGCTTCTGTAAGAACTAATCAGGTTCATTCTCGTGTTACGCAGCACGTTTGAGCTTCTGTAAGAACCAATGAGGTTCATTCTCGTGTTACGCAGCACGTTTGAGCTTCTGTAAGAACCAATGAGGTTCATTCTCGTGTTACGCAGCACGTTTGAGCTTCTGCAAGAACCAATGAGGTTCATTCTCGTGTTACGCTGCACGTTTGAGCTTCTGCAAGAACCAATGAGGTTCATTCTCGTGTTACGCATCACGTTTGAGCTTCTGCGAGAACCAATGAGGTTCATTCTCGTGTTTCGCATCACGTTTGAGCTTCTGCGAGAACCAATGAGGTTCATTCTCGTGTTGCGCATCACGTTTGAGCTTCTGCGAGAACCAATGAGGTTCATTCTCGTGTTACGCAGCACGTTTGAGCTTCTGCAAGAACCAATGAGGTTCATTGTCGTGTTGCGCATCACGGTTGAGCTTCTGCAAGAACCAATCAGGTTCATTCGTGTTACGCAGCACATTTGAGCTTCTGCAAGAACCAATGAGGTTTATTCTTGTGTTGCGCAGCACGTTTGAGCTTCTGCATGAACCAATGAGGTTCATTCTCATGTTACGCATCACGTTTGAGCTTCTGCATGAACCAATGAGGTTCATTCCTGTGTTACGCAGCACGTTTGAGATTCAGCGAGAACCAATGAGGTTCATTCTCATGTTGCCCAGCACGTTTGAGCTTCTGCAAGAGCCAATGAGGCTTGTTCTTGCGCGTCAAGTACGGTTGAGATTATGCTTGATCAATGTTTACGTGAATAAATTCAATCTTTTCAATTTTAAAGTGATTATCTCTTCAGAAAATTGACTAAACCACTCAATATATATAGATATATTTTACAATCTCTTTATGATTTTTTTTTAAGTGGTAGTTGTGTAAGCTGTCTATGGTTGGACAGAAATCTCTCAGATTTCATTTCAGATGAATGACAGGCTTACGGATTTGGAATGAAATGAGGGTCAGCAAATAATGACCGAATATTCATTTTTGGGCAAACTAACCCATCAAATAATGTCAGTAAATGGTTTAAAATTTAAGTAATTTTCAAGATGTTTTAAAACGTTTGCTACATGGTTAGCTACACATCATTTCACCTTAGTGCTTAATCCAGTTCTGTATACACAGTTCAGTAATTAATGGGAGTGACAACCGCATTCTACAACTGAATTAAAGGAGAACTCCGGTACAAAATGAACCTTTGGTCTAATAAAACATCGGTACCTAGTCAACCATTCTCTGAGATTTGTTTTCATGATAATCGACTGTTAAGAGTTATATCTCTATAATCATGATCTCTTTATAAGCCAAGCTTAAAGGGCTCATATGATGGCACATGTTATTTTGTATATTTGATTTAATCCAAGGTTTGTGGTTTTTGCTGCTTCTATCCCCCACTTTCTGAAACGTTTAGATTTTTACAAAGTCCATCATTCTGAAAAGAATTGTGTTTTGATTGGCTAGCAATCTAGTGCATTGTGATTGGCCCAAAAAACCTTAGGCGTGTGATGGAAGCGTCCCTTACCATATTTGGAACATCAGCTCCCAAAGCAATAATGGTAGGTGATAATATCGGTACTACCTTATCAATTCGAGCTCGAATCTGAATGGGAAAATGCAGATGACCAAGCTGATCGATCAACTTTGCCAGCGTGGCTGGACCAGATCGTATCAGATTGGTAAGGTTTTATTTAATTGGGGACATAATTATTAGACTTTAGGTGTGACGCACTACTGGGGGAGAACACTATGTAAACCCAAAACTATGTCCCCATTTGTGCCACAAGTGCTTCTCTGTACCGCTCAAAACTTCTTAAAATATGAAAACGTACTTGCAGGCTGTGTCTGAGATTCATCAGCGCCAGAATGTACATGCAAATATGGAATTGGCTAACTTATTAGAATCAGCGTTTGTGCACAGCTGGCCTTGTTACTCAGGTTCTGGAAACAGTCCTCTGAAAAATGCACAGCACACTGAGGAAAAATTATAGTTTTAGTTGCACATTTCTTTAACAGTGTTGTAAATAAAGCTTAGCACTGTCTTCTAATCGTGTCCTCTTTGGAAGGCCAAACAAAGTAGTTTGGCTTTCGCAACAAATAACACAGCACCTCCATGACATGGCGGTGCCGGTGGCGGCAACAAAAACACTGAGAATAAAAGTTCTGCCTTTCTTTGCGTGTGCATTTGGGTGGTGTTATGAAACCCTCCCCCCCACAGACTGACGTAGATTTGTGGGGGAGTGTTTGAACGAAGCCTTTCAGAAAGGTTGTGGCTGAGCCTCAACTTTTATAAAGAATATTCCTTTAGGTTTGACACTTTGAGCGGTGTAACTCTGCAGAGCTTGCAGGGTTTTTTTTGTTTGTTTTGTTTTGTTTTTCCTTTTTCTTTATTGTTATGTAGCTGTTTGTGGATCACATGACCCCTTTAAACAAGCATCAAAATGCCAAGAAGACATGGCAACTCTGCAAGAGCACCCTCTGTCTAGCAGTGTTTCCAAACATGACCAAAACCTTAGGCCTCCGTCTCTGCTTCCATTAAAATTGCTCAACACATCGGATCTTTTGTCGCCGTAATGTTACTTTGGTCAGAATAGTGGAGACCAAAGACTAGATACTAGAACGTTGCTATGGTTAACCTGGTGTCAATCATCGCAGTTCCGGGAGTCGTGTTCCGTAAATTAATGGAATGGTAACTGACTCACTCCTGCATTTAAAAGCGGTTGTCACTCCTGAAGTGTATGTGGCCTTTTTGTGCACAAACAACTAAACCATTTAGGTATCACAGATACTTTTTCTTAACTTAAACGAAAACAAAACCGAAATAAAATGGATGTATTGATTGGTCCACTTATATATCCAATAACAATGTGTAGTTCAAGATCTTTAAGGATTTTATTTATTTGCAAACTGCAAATGCTGCATTTTTTTTTTTTTTTTTTTTTTTTTTTTTTTTTTTTTTAAGAGCCCCTATCATTGCATTTAAAATGTTCCTATTTTTTTTTTTAGGAGTTCCCAAAAACAGTTTAACATGCATGCAAGGATAAACACTTTATTTGTCTTATAATATTCATTTATTTTTAACTGATTTGCTCACCGACTCCTAAATGATTCGTACAACTCATTTTTCCAAACCACTCCTTTGCGTGATGCTAATCGGCGGTGATTGGTCAGATGACAGACCCAGTCAGTTGTTTGTAAGCATAACGCATAAACATATTGATAAAGCACTGCAGTACTACAAGACGCTCTATTCTTTATGACAACTCCAATAACAGCGACAAACATTTCACATATTTAAAAAAAATTGACATTGGAGACCTAGAAGCTGCGCTGAGCGTAACTTACACACACACACACACGCGCGCACACACATTCTGCCTCGCCCCCCGACGCAACAAAACCGTTCAAAACCCATAAAAGCAACAATTATTAATAATACTTACAGGTTGTGATTTGAAGGAGGAAGCTGATCCATATTCACTGGGTAAGTAAGTTACTGAGCCCTCCTTCAGGGACAACCGCTTGCGAATCCACATTTGAATTCATTTATGTTTTTGAACTAACGTTATTCGTCAATAAAATGATGAGAACACAATCGGGCTATACTGTTGTGGTATCGTTGCAATTATGAACTCTAACCACCGATTCTTCACATGCCCGTCCCTGGTAAATGAAAACAAAGTGGCTGAACTATCTTTGCATTGTAGAACACAGCGTCTTCTCGACACGATGCTATGATGAAGTATTTGAATGTGTAGACTTCAAGTTTACACTTCCGTCTGCGCGCGCAGTAACTAGGCACGGCCAGTATGTCTCTACGTCACGATGGAACAGCTAATGACTCGTTTCAAAAACAATTAATTTCATAGACTTTATATACGGTGCACTTTCAGATATAAATCTTGATGTTTTCATTCCCTTAGAGCTATATTCCACACCTTATGAACAGTCATTTTCAAAAATCCATGATAGGGGCTCTTTAATCCATAAGCCAAATGTCCAATGCATTCCTCAAGAGGGCAGTATTGTCTCATGAAGCACCATAACACATTTATATCTTTTTAGATCTTGCTAGGAATCCAAGAACTCCTTAATGAACCAAATATTCAGGATCCCGCACAGGCTGAGGCATACACAATTTACTGGTACGCACCTTCAAATATAGTCTTGCCTATTGAGACTGACATTCTTATTGCCTTTGTTATGAATCTTGTGTTTGCGTTTCTGTTTCAGCCAAAACAGAGTGGAGTATGAAAAAAGGGTCAGAGCACAAGCCAAAAAGTTCTCACCGTAAACCAAGATTTCTCATTTAATGGAAATGGGTTTTGACCAGGTCTCCTCACCCCTGTTCGAGCCCACCACCCCACCTACCTTTCATATCCACTTCATACTTATTTACTGCTGGGCTTAAAGAAATGAATGTGTTGTGCCATTGTCAATCCACCGATGCTCACCCTAACAAACTCTTCCTGGAGGTTTTAAATTCGGTCTTTTGTATAAAAAGTCTTTTTTCCCCTTCGAAGTTGGGCAAATCCACAGCAGAGGAGTTCACAATAGGTTGTGTAGCTTTTTTTTTTTATTATTTAATTTTTTTTTGGGGGGGGGTGGGGTTGCTAAGTAACAGTGCTACATATTTGCAAAAAAAAAAAAAAGGCACAAACATCCACATGCAGAAGAAATGATATTCCACAGAGGCATGAGCCTAAAACTTTTGTTTTGCTGAATCTTTCTTTTCTTTTTCTTTTTTTTTTTTTTTTCTCAGACTGGCCTCCTTAGTCTCTTTCATGGTTTTAATGATTTAAAACTTGCTATTAATGTCAGTATTTCAACTGCTGTAAAATGATACTTTTATACTTTCTTTACTTTGAATTAGTGTCTAGAGAGATTTCCATTCCTGATGCAGGCAGTGTACTAAGCATGTATCGTTCAGTATGATAGCATTGTGCCTCGGCCGTCTGTGTTTCACAAAAAGAAAAAAAAAAGACTTGCGTACAAGGCCTCTGAATCAAATGGTTAGTTAACCGCTGCATCAGTCTCTTTGTGTTTATATGGTGTTTTGTTCATGTAAGTGTATAGAGTAAATAAAAATGTTTATACAAAGCCACTCGTGACTGCAGGTAAATTTTTCACGTGCTTCATCCCATGAATGGATTGAATTCAACCCGTGCTTGAAAGGTAAGTCTTCTCATGATTCGTGGTCATGGTCATTTTGTTGGAAGATTTCTATGTGACTGGCATTCACTGAATCAAGAAGTTAAATTTGCCGTGGTTGTATATCAGTGCAGTAGATGTCAAACCATTTTCTAGTTTTGAATTAAACGTCTTGGGCAAAACCTTCTTTAAAAATTGTAGTATTTTGATGAAATAATACTGAAGATGAATATATATATATATATATATAATGCTCATGTTTAATTGATATTTATTAATGTTTATCACATTTCATACATCAGGCTTTTATAGCTCATATAAGCAATTCAGTGATAACTAGAGATTGGCAAATTATTGTTCCCCAAAAGCATGTTGTGTCTTATATAGTGTGTGTGTATTTGATTGTATGAATGATTATGTAAATCCAAGTTGCTTCAGTCCTGTAAATGTTCATCTTGCATGTATTTTATGTAAATCGATAAAGATTTCTCAGCCAAAACAAGACTTAACTTGAAATAAAAGTATGAACTATCAATTACATCTACTATCAACAACAGGTTTTACAGCAAAGTTTTTTTTTAGGCCCTAGAAATGTGTGCATCAAATATGAGACGGCAAGTTAATATATTTACATGTATTTTACTAATTGTTTAAAATAATTTTACAAAGAATGTTTTCAAGTTATGAGAAAACAAATTGGTCCGATCATGTTGGGAAAGTTACTTAACAATATTGTGTTACTACTTTTTAAAGGGTCCAAATGGAAGTCTTCATCCTGTTAGGCTGTGTTAAAGGAAAAGTTCATTTCAAAATGAAAATTGTCATCATTTACTCACCCTCAATGTCTTAACAACACCATAGATATTTTGAAGAATGACAGAAACCAAACAGTTGATGTACCTAAATGACTTCTAAATGTAAATGACGGCAGAATTTACATTTTAAATCTATTCCTTTCAGTGTGCATGGCTACATTACACATGCTCCTGTTGCCAGTCATGGTACAAAATGCTATTACATCTTATTTTTGGATACATATAAAAACAAAAAATAGCAGGTATATGCCTTCATCTTCATACACATTTTGTTTTTTGTTTTTTTTGTCTTACACTTCATAAGCTCAGTTCCGACTCGTTTTCAAAGCATTGTGGGTGATTGAAGGACGTGAAGGAGACACTTGATGCATCCTTCAACATGAGCTGAATGAAGGAAGCGAAAGAAGGCTGCCTTCCGAGGATCCTGGCCTTCACTGGCACTTCAGTTTATCTCCGACTAGCGATGTGACATTTGAACCGAGGCGGCAGAGCTTGTGTTGAGAAAAAATGGGCGTGCCAGATGAAGCCGCGATTCGAGGCTTGTGTTGTTATCGTGAAAATCACGTAACTAGTAATGACAAACGAGGCCTCGGTTTGTGTGAAAACGTCATTGGTTCAGTCTGAGTGTTGCTTCCGGATAAAAGGGGTTTGAAACTTGTGCCACCTTCTGGATGTTGTCAGGAGTAGCAGTTGTGCTAGTAGTGTCAGAGAGTCAGAGTTAGAGCAATCTCATTGGCGTTGTTGATTGTGTTAGGGCTGTATATTATTACATTATATCAGGTTAGAATATATAGTATATTGTTATTAATAAGTGAAGGAGCTATATTATAGTCTTGTTATATTAATTAAATATAACTTTATTAGGATTTTTGGATCTGGACTGCACTGCTCTTTATTTTGGATTTGTTTGCCTTTTGCAACTCCTTTTTCCTGGTAGTGGAGCCAGCAAGAAAGAGGAGATCCTCCCCTGTCTGGGGTCAACAGAAGCAATATCCTCATTTATACCAACTGGTACTTTTTTTCCAAGGCTGGAGATTTTGTCCAAATAGAGGAATCGTCTAAACACTTGAAACATTTTTTGTTTCTCATTAAAAATCTACTGTAATCCTTCCTTCTCCCACCCCAAACTGCAGTGTTGCAGTTTGCTCCTCTATATCCACAGTCCCATTAGCACAACACTGCACTCACTAGTAACAGTTCACTACACAAACCCCCCAGAAACAATCTATCCCAGACTATTCTATGTTTGCTTTATTAAACTCCCTCCAAGCACTGCACTCAACACAGTGTCGTACTGTCACAACAATTTATGAATGATTAATTAATACTGTGTGTGTGACAGTTTTCTCTGCTCAAGTAAATTCAGACAGAGTATACAGACATCATAGCCTAGTCTGTTCAGGTCATTGGTTCAGAATTAATTCATTTGTCTGTTACTTCTTTGTACAGTAGTGTCACTAGTGAGCAATGCTGAATGAAGCTTCAAGTAAACCTTTGGGTGAAGCAATGGGCTGTGAGGTCTCAGTGGTTCAGGAAGCCTCATTTTTCCATCACTAGCTCGGGTAGCTCCAACCCAGATCAAACTCACCTACCTTCAGCCCCGACAAAACGTTGCACAACATTTTTTTTTTTTTTAATAGAAACGGTTATGCGTTGAACGCACTGTTCTGATGACGCAAGAGTTGCAACCAAGCATGCCGCACAAGCCATCAAAAGTCCAAAGCTAGGAAAACAATGTCTTGTTGTGCTTTTTTCAAAATCCCCTTCTAAAATTGTGTAACATTTTATTGTTTTAAAGTGCCATTGTTTGTATCTCCTTTATGTATGTGATTATCCTCTTTTGCATTATTTGTACTATTGTCAATTTTTTTTTTCTTTTTCCCCTCTGGTTTTTGTTCTGTTCTTTGTACTTCATGTGGTTGTTAATAAAAAAAAAAAAAAAAAAAAAAAAACAAGCCATCAAAAGTGAAGCCAAAACGTCTCGATCGCCCCCCAGTGACCGGTCCTAGTATAGGTCATAAACCCTGCCTCCCCATGTTATTCAACAGGACGTTGATCACGTTGACGTGAATAAGGACGAGACCAAACTAAACAATTAAATTACACTTCACATATCCTTCCTCCAAAGATAGTTTCTGTCATTTATTTTAGTTTCTATCACTTGGATGTAATTTCAAGTGTTTGTTTTTAAAATAAGTTTGATTATGTGATGCTATAAAAACGGTGCTGTGTCATCATGATTGACAGCTGTGATTGACAGGTTCTCTGTGCGAAGTAGACACTGAAGCACCAACAGACTTTTTTTAATAATGTTGATTATGTGGTTAGTAGTGACCTTATTTTAACGAGGTACTGTAATCAGCAGACATCAGAGGAACGGAACAGACCCGCTGAAAAATCCAGCTAAAACCAGCCTAGGCTGGTTGGCTGGTCTTAGCTGGTTTAAGCTGGAAGTAGCTGGTTTTAGTTGGTCACCCAGCCTGGCTTAGCTGGTCAAGCTGGTCTCCCAGCCTGACTTAGCTGGTTAAGCTGGTCTCCCAGCCTGGCTACCAACTTGACCAGCTAAGACCAGCCTGACCAGCTGAAAAAGTGTTCAAAACCCCTCTAAAACCAGCCTGATAAACCAACTAACCAGGCTGGGAGACCAGCCAAAACCAGCCAACCAACCTTGGCTGGTTTTAGCTGGATTTTTCAGCAGGGAGAGCAGAGGCCACTGTGCGGGGTGTGTGCTTGCGATTGATTCAGCGAGAATGAGGGCGGGGCCTTGATATTGCAGCTTTACTTCCTGCTCACGAGTGCGCATGTCTGGTCCCGAAAACGCTAATGCGCAGACTCAAGTTCCAAGATGTCAGCGCTATATCGGGTCATTGGTGGCTTCATTTCTCTCTGATGGAAAAGAGCGAAGGGGCGTCGTCCATCTTTTTTTACAGTCTATGGTTGCAACTATAGCAGCTGAGAAGGCCATTCTTTGTGTTCTTTGTGAAGAATTTCCGGAGCCTGATGAAGTTGGTATAAAAATGTGTTTAATGCTACAAAATATGCCCGATTTTACAGTTACTGCACTTGCTGCCCAGAACACAAGAGAACATCCCAATCGAGTGAAGGGATTTGTGGAAACTGAAGAAGGTGTTTTCGTTTAAAAACGCTCTACGTCCAGCCGGGTGAACACTGACTGATGCAGTTAACAGCATTTCCCAACTATGTCAGTACAGTAATAGCAAATATCCTTGCTCCTTCTTGATTATCTGGTAATATTCTATTCACAAAATACAACCAATAGTACGGTAATGTTAAAACTTACTTGTGAAAATCCTTATTTTCGATGGTCCGGCGATTAGAACAGGAAAATGCTCCACAACACTCTGGCATTTTATCTGCTGCCACGCAACGAACTAGGAATACGACCGGTTCAAGATGGCGGCCGGATTTCTCGGTTTCCAGCGGCCAATAGGGTATCTAGTCACTATATGATCTCTATGGGAACTACAACCAAAATTCAGAAACCTGCAGCGATTTGTATAATGAAATTAACTTAAAGCAAGCAATCATTCCTGTAGTGGTAGGCTAACGGTGGTGAGTAAACTAGCATTCAAATCTGCCTCCATTTACTTAGCAACACCCAACCTCCAACGATCAATAGGTGGTTTGCAGTCACGTGATTGTGTTGACGTGTGGAATGCAGATGGAGGAGTGAAAACAGGAGTGAAAACAGGTTCTCACATAGGTATTATGTCATTAAACAGCACTTCAAAATAGTTGTCACAATATAATTCACAGATGAACACAACAGATATCCAATCGGAGGAAAAAGTTATAATTATTTTTTTTTTCTTGTATCATTTTATTTTTATTTTTTATGGCTGTCTGTCTGTATGTCTTGCCATAAAACTAATTGCCCCCCTAGGGGACATAAAAAAATATTTTATTCATTGTTAAGTGTATTTATTGTTAAGTTTAAAGCCTGATTTCTACACACATCTTTTCATTTTCAAATTCAAGCTGGTCTTGCCTTAGGCAAAAAAAATACTGCAGTGGGTTTAGTGAGAAAAGATTCCAATTTCTGTCAGTCTTGTGACTCTATGTTAGACTTGCCAAGACTTGAAATTTGACAATTTTACTTTCTGCTTTTTTTTTATTT